AGTCACTATGTTAAATACATTTTATAACTGTATTTAACTATAGAAGTATGTCAGAAAATGTGTTAAAAACAACCAATACTACCATAAGTAAGCAATAACTATTAAGAACGTCAACTATTAATTAAAAATAAACATTTTAACAATAGTAATGTAGTAAAAAGTTAGCAATATTTTTAAAATTATTTTATAATTATATTGTAAAATTTGATATTGATATTGCTCTTATTGAGCTTAATTTACGATATAAAAATATTGTCTACGGAAAAATCTATACTTCAAGTATTATATTATGTCTTTTATATTCGGTCATAACGGGTTGCCTGCAGTGCATCAGTATTTCTTCTCAAACTCGTAACTTAACAGTCATTCGTTACTTTCAATACATTAAACAAACTATATTTCATTTTTTGACCTTGGCTCAAAATAGTATAAATTTGCTTTTATTTTCATCCACCATTAGTATAGAATTTAAATAATAAAACTTTTTATTCTACGGTTATATATCTACGTCTAATGTACATATTATGTTTTATTTTTCAATTTTGAAAGCTTATAAATGTATTCGTGTATTGTTAGGTAGGTAATTTTTTTTTAATTTTAAATTTAAAGCTGTTATTATAGGTATTATAGTATACTATTCATTATCAAATGAAACTTTAATCTTTAGACGGAATTTATTTCAATTTTTATTATGGTCATAGTAAAATTATTACCGAATTAAAGTAGTATTTATATACCATTTGTTAAGGGGAATATTTTTTAATATTTTAATATTTACGTGAATGGAAGCATTTCCATACATTATTTTTCATTGCAATAATTTTATGATGTTCTAAGGTTATGGCCATATATAGGTATATAATATATTACTTTAAATGACGGTCGGTGTTAAATAACATAATTGTATGTTGCCTCAGCACAATTTGCTTCCCTGGCCCTATGTTAGTAATTTTCCTCGCTAAAACATATATTGTATATTATAATATTATGGTCTTATGCTATATATATATATATATATATATATATATAATATCATAATTTTATAGGCTTCTATAGTATACGAAAATAATGAACAAGACCTTCAAATGGGTTAATTAGTCACCAGGCATCAAGTACTTTTCAAACAAATACTATCTGATATATTATATTATACAACTCTACAAGTTTAAATGTACAATAAGCTAATTAAACATATGTCAAACTAATATTATAATGATAAAATCCAATTACAGTTTATTTTAAATTAAAATTTATGACCTAAATTTGCAATTAAAATAATTTTATAATATTATATTGAATGTTTTTCATCTAAATTTATGATTAAATTCTAATGAACTGATTTTCGTACTTTAAAAATATTTAATCGTTTTTTTAAATCTTAATACATTAATATACGAGTATGAATAGTAAATCCAATATTAATAATTAACCAATTTTACTAAAACAATATATATTACAATTTAGAACTGTGCAGTGTTTTAATATTAATGGAAAATATATAATTAATTTAAAAGTAAATTTTTATAATGATATATATGTATAGTATTTATAAGCTTAAATATGACAAAAACAAATTAAATTTAAATTCCATATTAAAATAATAATGATAAATAAAAATTAAGTCTATCAACTTACATTAGTTAAAAATATGATCCATCTAAATATCTACATTTTTTTATTTTAAAACATATTTAACATTATTGTAAAACAACTATAAAAATAAATATAATACTAAAAATTAGATATAAATGATATAATCATAAATTTGTAAGTTATACTTCTTTTTTGAATAACTATTAGAACTCTTTTGAATTTAACTACAAAAATATAAGGTGAACTATAAATAAAAATAATTTATTGAGCAGTTCGTAATATTTACAAACGCATTATCGTGATCCGCAATGTGTATAATTTTTTGCACGTTAAATCCTTAAGGTTTTTATCATTCATTTTTTTTCAGTTTATATAATGTGGTTATCTATTTTATATCCAACAAAATTAAATACATATCACGCGGATACGAATATTCGCATAAGTAATAGGGATATTGAAAAATAAACGAATAGATACTTATAATAAATTATTAATGAATAATATAATCATGCAATTTTTTGCAAGCCATAACCACAATCAATCGAACGGGTTACATATTAAAGATGAAAGCAATTTTATTGGTCCACTGTGAATGATTAAAATGGCTTCTTTATAAATCAGATTAAACACACTATAAAAATTGCATAAAAGACTTAAAACCGATATAGGTAATGTTATTTTGAAATTTTACCTCCTGACCAAACTCAGTGGCATCATTTGGAGGTATTTGTCGCTGTCTGATTTTAAAAGTAGACCGATAGACTGGTGTTAGATTATTGGTGAAAAACCTGCCTATTTTAATGTTTCTCAAAAATATTATTTTGTGTACCTACTGGGAATGAGAAATTATTGTCACAATAATAAATTGTTTATTAACAATTAATTTTTGGAATAATAGAATTTATATATATATATATAAACAATAATCAGTTCTGCGTATTACATGCGATACCTTGCCACCGAAACTGGTTACATTAGTGAGGGATATCGTGTAGTTTTTTTATGTTACTTATTTTGATTAGTAAAAACAGTTGTTCTTCTTTACTTAAAACTTTAATAACGCCACAGACCAGACTTTAACATAATATTAATTATATTAGTGTAATAATAGTTTTGTTATTCCATTAGGAGTTATGTGTTCTCAGTGCATATCAGTATATACTGATTCTAAGAACTTAAATTTTTTAACTAGAATTTATTTACTCCAGAAGTTTTTAATACCTTTATGATTATAGTTTATTCTGTAAGGTCAATTTGGATATGCCAGAGTTCCGTTTCATATCATACCCGATACTTATTTACAAATTTATATAAATCTATACTCTTTTCGTTATGGATGTGCGAAAAATATATTACATTTTATTATTAATTTATATTTTTATTTTTTAGCAACACAATTTTTTAATTTAATCGTAAATAAAACTATTTATTGTGATAGTATACTTATTTTATATTTTAAATCTATTATACTCAATACATATATTACTACAGTACCACAACATAATATAGATAAACATGTTTAAGCTATTAAATTTTTTCTGTAATAAATAAATAGTAATTAGAATTTATAAATGTATAAATTATAAGCTCGGGAAATTGTATTTATATGATTGTTTTCTCTTTCATTATCAACAATCATTTCGTATTTTAATCAATAGACTATATCATATTATTAGGGATAAGTAACTTACATATTAATTAACTATTATATGTAACATATAATAATATGTATAAATAAAAATCAGATTAGAAGTAGGGCATTATGAAATTTAATTGTGTCTGATACATTATTTTATCATTTTTGATGTTCCAGAATGTTATCCAATTATAAAATACGAATATGTGTTTGATTGATATCGAAAAATCTAATTTTATTTTATCGGTACTCATTTTTATGCGTAAAAATTATTATATTTTATTTAAAGAAACCATTGGACTAAATGATAGGAAAAAAATCATGGAAGAAGTTCAGTTAGTAACATACTAACTTTTTGCTATGAGATATTTTCTTAAATTTTGTATTGGTTATGAAATGTACACATTTTAATACATTAGGTATAAATATAGGTAAGTTGGTACACTGTACAATAATATTGTTGTAGCCAATCAAAATAAATATATATTTGTCCGTTTCGCAGAACTTCATGGATTGCCCTCGAAGTTTTAACTTGTAATAATATACGTATTAGTATGAAAATTATTTCCGTTTATGTTTTGCAAAATTACGTTGAAAAACTTACCGCGGTAATCCTACAACCTTAACTAATGGCATAATCAGAGGATGGTTTTGTGTGTTGAAACACCTCCCATTGGGCCTTAGCTGTGCAAAGATATTATATAATATTTCCATATTAATAAAAGATATGGTTGGCGTTTGTGTAAGAGATCTACTGAGAAGTAAACTTAATGGTCTTAAAAATTGGTACGTATATAATACTATATTCAAGGATACGAACTTAGAAGCTATTTTTTAATTTTTCATTTTAAAAAGAGTTCACACAAGGATTTGTTGGCATACGAAAAATGAATTATTTTTTGTTTGTATAGGGTTGCTATTGATTACAGAAAATAAAATATTTATTATAATTAGGTATATGTAATTATTATTTTAGACTTGTATTTTACATTTGGTAAGAACTACCCCAATGTTTGTGTTAAAAATATCTATTGGCTCTATTATCGGACAATTCCGTGCTAGATCAACTATAATCAATAAATTTATTATGATTATCTACTGTATAAAACTAAGGTAAAAATGGATGCAAATCCGCAGTTTTTGCCCAATTTCCATAAAATACTAATCAATATTTTAGTTTTTAAGGAATATCAACAGGCTACAGTGTCAAGAGCTATTTTAAAAATCTGGTAGTTTACATATTTTAATGGTGTTTAAGAAATGGCATGTCCATGAGTTTTTAATTCGTCTCGGATAGTAGAATGCAAAATTAGCTAGTGTAGTCATTCAGAATTCTAGAAAATAATATGTTTGAATAATATGGTTCTGTTTTATATTTTATTTTATTTGTATAAAGATTGATGAGAAAAACAATGGAAAGTTTCTAAACTCACCTTTCTAGTAACCATGTTATATTTAAATGTAAAATGAAAATACCTTCTACCCCTAAAAAAAAAATTCAGGTAACGGGCCTGCTCACTACTGATAGGTTATATAAAGTATCAGTTGACTCCCGGTTTCCCGAAATTTTCCAGATATTTTTATTTTCGTTATTACAATTTTATAGGTATAATAAAAATGTATGATCGTGGTACGTGGTCCAAACTGTGCGAACCGCAGACAGCGCCGCAACCGTACGCGATGCGCGCAGGCCAAAAGAGATAGGAGCAACAGTTCGCCGCCGCCGCCGTCGCAGTGGTCGCCGTGGTCGCGCGTTCTCCAAAGGACCCCTTTATTGTTCCCCGCCGGCTGTCGAAACGGCAGTAGTCACGCGACGCTCTCTTCGGTCGTCGACTGTTTCCCGCGGTGGCGTTTTCGGAAAATTCACGGCATCAGAAGAGGGATCCGCGTGCCTCTCCACGGCAACGAATGCAAAGGTAACTCGCCATTACATGTATCATATTTTTCATCTTTCTATAATAACAGATATAGGTAATATTGTACCTAGTATACTATTTGCGGTGTGTGCCTACGTGTTTTGTATAAATACGTATATAAATGTATATCGATTTAAAAATACTATTAGCATTATCGTTGTCCAGTGGTTGATGGTCACGCTAGTGACACCCAAATATGTATAGGTAAGTATGTATTTTTAATAGTGGCATTTCATAGAGAAACTAAATTATAATTTCCTTAGGAAAATCAAAGTTAGTAATTTATTTTTAAAATATATTTTGTGGTCTCCTCATATGCCAATAAATACTTCGATTTTGATGTTTTTAAATATTCATTAGTTACTATACCTATTATATAAAGCAAAAAATAGTAATGTAATGGATAGTTTATATTAAGGTGATCAGACGTCAAGTTTAAAACGAGATTGCCCTTCTTTAAATTATCATGTCTCGCTGTCATGAAAAACTTAAAACAGATGTTTTTTATCCCGTTTTTAGAAGGTGATTTCGTTTTAATCCCATTTTTCCATATTGACTATATAATTAAATTGTATCTTAAAAAGAAATCAGTGTATAAAACAAAGCTATAACAATTTTGTAATCGAAGTTATAAATAACAGATGAAAGTCTTCGTTTTCATAGAACGAGGATCAAGAGCTAAAGCTGATAAACAATTAAATTAATGATAAGCATGAGATAGAACAATGGTATGATTTATTCAAAATGCAAAATGGTATTTCCGTTAATAACTTTTTAACAATTTTTGAATTATTGACTATTTTTAAATTTTGAAAATATGCATCTGTAGAAAAAATATTGTGAATAATAAATATATAGTGGACAAATAAAAATAACTGTTTTAATATCGAAACCTTTATCTTGATAATTATTGCAAAAAAAGTATTTTAAAAATTTAACTTTTCAATTTTATGAATTTATTTTGAAGCACCCAAAATTGTTAAAGTCAATAAGTTTTTCTGAAAAGTATGAAAAAAGAGTAGAAAGTAAATAACGATAATGTAATTTTCCCAATTCTGGTAAAAAAAAAAAAAAAAATGTATTAATTTTAAAATGCAACATTGTGTTGCTTAATAATAATAAAAAAAAAAAAAATAAATATATTCCTAAACATTTTAACACCTTGATTATTTAGGCAAGGTTGGATAACTCTAAAGGAGTAAAGTAATAAGAAAATAATTGTTTATGTTATGACATAGATTTGGATTTTTATTCTTTTCAGTTACGTGCGTATATAGTATATATCAAGGTATATGGGGGAGCAGAGTAACAACTATCCTTGTTTTTTTTTTTTTTTAAATGGTCATCTTAGTTTTTATGAAATTCATTATATGTAAATAAGTTGTTAAGAAATGTATAAATTAACTATAAAATCAGAAAAACGATATTCGTATCTCAAGTACACTAGACTTCAGAAGTTCTTTTACTACCATCGAGTTGGTTATTTTATTTTTATTTTTTAATTAATACTTCCCAAAAAAATGATATATTTATAGTCAATATCAACCAATTTAATCATTAGGACCACATGAGTAGACAACAATTATTATACTATTAAATTTATTAATACTGTGATGTTACTTATATACTATTGTTTAAAGGAAAGCTGAATGTCGTTAATTTATATATATATATAATCTGAAGATTAAATACATTATATTAAGTCCAATCTAGTTAATTTTTAAATCAGACTAGTATAAATGTTAATCTTGACTTATTATTTTCCTTCTATATCTAAAAAGAGAAAATACCTAATCATACGTCATATAGTACGACGTAAACTTGGAGTAATTTGTTTACTAATGCGACGATCTGCTTGATGAGCCGACATTTCAAATGACACGTGCAATCGCCAAAATTGGTACATGCAAATTAAAATTACTAGATTCTCGTATTTTCGTGAATGGTATCGTAAAAATATTTGTCACATATACGAGTATTACATTTTATTACATTATTTATTAATGTTTTGTCCAATTATTATCTAAATGTCAATCTTTTTGATCAACTGTCGTATTAATTGCTATTAAACATATAACTGTTTATTATAATTAAGAAAATATTTTAAACGTATTTTACCCTCATAGTATTATTTAAATATTTAATATAAATGAAAACTATTGGATAATTATTAAATTAAAGTTTTTGTTAGGTATCATATTTTCTTATTAAATTCAAACAAATTGAATAAAAGATATAACATTGAGTATAACTTGCTATTAAAATTTGGTATAGGTACAATATTAATGTTTTGAACCTACCTATAATTTATTATTGAATGGTTTAACTAGTTAAAAATACAATATTGTACCTACCTATATATTACATCGATTTAAAAATATTATTTCAAACAATTATTATATATTATGTATATTTAAAAAAATGGTATTGGACGTTTCTATTGTTTATTAATAAGTTGTAGGTATTTGTTGGTTTGCGCCCAAAAAGGTACAGGTTGAATGGCTGTAACTTATAAGCGCAAAGTATGACCTAAATACATCTTTAAAGCACTAAATAAAAATTAAATTTTTTAACAATCCATAATCACAAATACATTTTATAAAAACAAAATTTATTTTATTAAAAACATAATCATTATTCATTGAGTTAACGTATACGCATTGCTTACGATTGTAGCGCAGATTTCAACTAATGTAGGTGAATATTTAAAAAAATATTTCATTTGAATTTTAAACATTTAAACATTAAATATGCTTTAGTTAAAAACAAATGGTTCTAATGATTAAGTTATATGATAATTTATATAGTTATAAAGCTATAGTTATTAAAAATCCCGTTTGGTGTAAGTTTATATTGTATGCACTTAGAGTTATCTTAAATGATTATCAACCGTCATTGTAATTTTTACGTTAAAATAACACTGCATTAAACTGAACTTGGTGACTGTTGTTTTTGAAGTATAAAAATACTAAGTAATTGAGAACTAAATGTAACGAGGGTCAAATTTTAAACTAAAACTTATAGTGCGATGGGTACAATATTTTATATCAAGTATTATAATTTATTTTTACACTTTTATCTCACTATTAAGGGTTACAAAAGCATACATTTGTTTTGCGGTTTTAGGTATCACTGGGTTGAGTATATATTAATAATATAATATTATATTATACTGCGTTAGGTTAGGGCAGTGTTTCTCAATCTATGAATCACGAGCCAAAATTGAATCACGAAATATTTTTTATGGGTCGTCAGTTGCGACCTATAATTAAAATATACATGCAAATAATTTTAACAGAAAATTTATAAATACCTAAATTATGTTTTATTTTGTACCTCTACGTATATATATCAATATATCTTTAGTAAAGTTTGTTTTATATTTTTATCTTATCGGTTAATATGGTAATGGCTATCAATGTGGTATCGGTCAATTTTCCATACAGTTGAGCAATAAGCAGTATATAGAGACTGCGAGAGAAGGTGCAAACGAAAAGTTTAAGTTTACGATTTAAATATTTTTAAATATCTACTCAAATTTTATAATAATGTATATTAAGTTTTAATTTTTCTAATAGATAAATTTATTGTTTGTAAAACCAAGTACCAGTCAACCTGAAGTTCTATCAGGTAGTTCAGTACAATACAATTTTTTTTTTTTTAGTGTTGGTGGGAGTAGGTCACGTAACCAACAAGTAGTAAATTTATGGGTCGTTATTACAAAAAGGTTTGGAAACACTGGGTTTGGGTAATAAAAAATGTTTTTTACAGAATTCTTCTCTAAATTAATGAATAACCAATGTTATTTAGATAAGTTTTCAAGTACATTGCAATAAGTTCCCAATAAAATAAGAATAAATTAAAAGGATTATTGTCCAATTCACATCAATAATTGGTTATTGAGTATTTTTTTAATTAGATAATTTTAAATACTATGTAATAATGAATGTTTAAGCGCCAAAATTGTTTAATTACACAGAACTATTTTATACTTTAATGCATTTACAAATTTAATATGTAGGGGAATTATCTTATATCATATACATATGTTAAAGTACAGAAAATTAATTGTGTTTGATAACGTTAAGATTTTTTTGTTATTTTGGATGTAACGCAAATGATGTATAATCTATCACAGTTTTAAAATTACAAATAGGTACCTACGTATTTAGTTTAATCATGAAAGAACTCTACAAAAAAATTCATTCAGCACGTTTATATATAGCTCAGAAAGTAGACAAAAATTGTTTTTTTAATATATAATTTTTAAGTTTCTCAGTAGCGTCTTTTCTAGGAAAAATTTAAACTTTAACAAAACCGCAGACATTATAGACAATCTTATTGGAAACTGATTCGATACTCGTCAGAAAATTTCTGCTTTATGACTTCAATATAAACCTATCTTTTACATTTATAATTATTCTTAAACTGAAAACGTTAATGTATTATTTATTTAAGTAGCTATTAATTTTAAAAATAATGCTTGTTTAAAAAAAAATAGTTAGATGAAATTTCCAGTTTTAATTTTATATTCATAAATGCCGAACTGAGTTTTTAAAGTATCCAAACGTTGACATATTGTTTGTAATCGTTATTTTAATTTCAGAGATCTCTTTGAGTTGCCAAATATCATCATCGTCACAGTAGATCGCATCATAAACAACATTCATTCTTATAATGGTTAATAGTTACTTGACAATAATATTAGGTACCATAGTAGTTGTGCCATACTGTACCTACTACTGTTGTAGAAGTTTTGTCGGCCAAACTAAATAATTCACAGACAGTCCATTATAATTATAATAATATTATTGTGCTCACGATGAAGTAAATATCGCGTGTCATTATTTAACTTTAATGGGTTTCATTAAACTGATCAAGAAAGGTTATATTTTTTTTTGTGTTTTTTTACTCAGTCTTAACGAGCTTTAACAATTATACATACCACAAAGTTATTAAAAAATCATTTTTAGTATCGTTAATATGCAGTTGAAACAATT